TAAAAATGTTTTTCTTGACATTTATGCCTCCCATCATTTTGTTTATGTAAATAACAAGTACTATATTAGAATTCTTTCCTGCTCCGATAAAAATAAATGCCAAATTTTACACTTTTTTGTTTTGCATTTTCTTTTAGAAAATTTACTCATCATTCGTCAGTTTCCAAAGGAAAAAAGAGAACAAATTATTACTTTAGTTCTTTATTTAGTAGCTTTCAATAGATTTGATTAATCGTTGCAGAAAACAATTTTAAGAAGACACTCATGTTATAAAACTGAAAATGAGAACAAATAAAGAACTCAAAGTTAAGCTATTTTTAAGACTATTTTTTACTTCCTTGTATGAAGTAAAGGAAATAATGTAATAGCGAAACATTTTGGGTATCATATTTCAACGAAATTATTCATTTTGCCCACACTCGAATCCATTTGAACGAGGATTTTGTGTGATACCTGTACGTACGGACAGAACAAAAGAACTCTTTTTGTCAAAAAAGTTTGCAAAATGGATTCAGAAGAGCCTTTTCTTGATGTCTGTAGGTACTTAATGTATGTACTTAATGTAATAGTTGCAGAATTATAAACAATTTAAATGCTTAAGTGGCATTAGGCCTAACGAGGCCGTCATTACTTTGAATTAAGTCAATTGGTGCACCAACTTCAGTGTCATCTTGCCAGTGGAACTAAAAGTTAACTTTCAAGTTTTGTTCAACGAAATCTGCGTCTTCCTGCTAGCTGGCAAAATTGCATGTTTTTTGCATAGGAACTCTAATTTTAATTACAAAAATTAGAGTTAAATTAATAAAACTGTTTTAGTTGTATTTGGTGTTTAAGGTTTTTCTGTACTTAACAATTTTTAAAAAAGATGTTTTGAGATTTTATGTATTTTTGCCATGCCGCGAAGTGAAAACTGATTTAATTGAATGAGAAATATATTTCTAATGAAATTCGAGTATAAAAGTTTAAATAGTGCAGCAAAAATGTATATAATTTAATAGGCCGTATAAGGAAGCCATTCGATGTCCACCTCAGACACATTTTTTCAACTGATACACCTGCGTCCTTAATTAAAAACAATAAACTAAGGCAATCCATATACGTTTGTACAAACGCTAACTAAAACGTTTTAAGATTGCTTCAATATTTCTTTTCTGATATTAGATTTTATAATCCTATTGTTTGTTTTCTTGGTGATCATATACAAATGTGTCTACTAAATACTGAATTTGCTGTTTGAAGGCTAAGATCTTGAATATTCTATGACAGCGGATTGAATACCTTATTAAGGTTTGTAGTGGAGGGTAAGAAATACGCTTCTGAGACATTATGGCGAACGTGTGATTAGACTGTGCTAAGCTTGTAAAAGTGGCAATGAAGCACTCGAAATGTTAAGACATGCATATGGTGGTGAAACCTTTAACAATGCTTCAGTACTTTAATGGTGGAAGCACTTCCAAAGCAGTAACATGCGAGTTATTGAGAAAGCACATTTTAGCAAGACTATCCACTGAGGTTACGGATGTCAGCATTGCCAACGTATCAATTGACAGTGAACGATGCCATTATGCAAACTACTAGAAAATATATTTGTGTGGAACCATCATGAAGAAACTCTGAATCTGCTCAAGAAAGAATATTTTTCGTTGCAGGAAAATGCCCAGCCGCATTATGCTATTGTGGCATTAGCAGCATTGTCTGAATTCGTTGGGACAACGCTAAAATAACTTCCATATAGCCAGATATAGCTCAAATGATTTGGGAGAATTTCGAAAGCTTAAAAGACAACAGAAGTGAAAGAGGTTCTCTTCATATAAGGAAAGAAAAAGATTCCATCTTCTCAATATTGAAAGAGATATCACAAAACAGCCATATAGCTGCCAACTTTGAAATGGATAAAACCGAGAAGATTTTGCACGAAAATCAGTAATTTCTAGGATGGTTACGCGGTACGCGGCGACGCTATTTCAAAAGAATGTCTAACTAACTAAAAATTACTATATAACGAATGATTCAAATTACTGAACTCTTCGTAATGTGATTTTGACATAAAATATATCAATATTTAATCAGATTTTACACTCTTTGGCTTATTTAATTTTATAATTTTTTTACACTTTTATACCGAAAAGATCCTCAGTAGGGTACAATTTTTACTTGTCCTAGTAAATGTGATAAAAATAAAACTCATATATTATACACATACCATTCTGTGAATAAACTTAGAAATGTATCATTACTTATAAAGCAAAATTAAGTATAAATATTAACTTATTAAACATCAGTTGATCTTCATAAAAAGTTTTAGAAATGTATACAGCAGGCTAAAGACAGTTCGGAAGAGATAAAATTAAGGAGGAGATACTAAGCTGAAAATCACTAGAGGTGAAAGAATGTAACTTACACAATTTAAATTTAATTAATTCAATGAATTTCATTTATTGCTGGGAAACAACAGTAATGGCTAAAAATTAAAAATCGGGAGATATGGTGACCTATTCGGAAACCACGATTCGCAAAAGTCTCACAATAAAACCTAGAGAACTAAAACCTAGAAACTTATTTATGCAGTCAATTTCACGTTCTTGAGCAGTTCACAAAACGCTCCAAAAAGTGCAATGCAATTAAACGGGAAAAAATAGAGAAAACAATTTCGCGGAGTCATTTAATTTTAAATGAAGAATTCTTGGTATGTTTTCATCAACTTGCATTATTGATTAGACCAGTCATGTCAAACTAAGTTGGTCCAAATAATCGTCCGTGTATGATATTGAAGTCCGCAAGGAAAAAGGAAGGTCATTTTCATACTGTATTTAAAATCTGAGTAAATAAAATAAAATCTTTGTTACTGTTGTTCCTCAAAAATAAAAGGAACATAAGAAAATCCTGGTAGTTAAATGGATACCTATTGTTTTACCCCCGACACTTTGCACCTTTCTCCTGCAATAATTTTTTGGATGCCTGGAGATTTTCAGAACATAGATCATATGAATGACTGATAACTTGGATCTCGTTGGAACTTGGCACGTGTTCCCTTTTCAAAAGTTCGAAAACGTCTCATATAGACAGCATGTGACTTCCTTGTGCGTTATTTTAAATTATACATACTTTTTGCTGCCCTTTATTTAAATTGATTTCTTCGAATTATTGTAACTTAGATTTATTATTATTATAACATCTCAGGGCAAATTCATAATGACATCAAAAACTGCAAATTTTAAAATTAAATAAATATGTTGGCCAATTTTTGTCGTACGGGAGTCAAAATTCTTATAACTTTATTTTTTCGTTAAGAGTATAAAACTTTCCCAAATATAAGAATAGGGATCGGGAAACAGCATTAAAAATTAGTTGTCGTTATTCGTCGAAAATTAATTTATTTTTAAATTTGGCATTTCCAAACATGAATATTTTTGTCATTTAAAGCGCTTCTGTAATTGGAAGTATATATGGCCAACGTTAACGAAAATAAAGGCCGAGTAAGGACTTCTAAGCCGGATAAGGAGTTGGGCATATATATGTAATGATGCAACAAACTTAGCTGTAATGATATTGTAGATGTATTAATTTGCACAGATTTGACTCATTGTAATGAAGCAGACTTAAATGTAATGACACAGAAGAAAAACTGATGGCGTAGAACGTTGATCGATAATGAAGAGCAACTTGGCTGCCGAGGTAGGTTAAATATTCTAATTCATTTCTATTCATCTAATTCTAATTAATTTTTATTTCAGTAAACAGTTGAGGGCAGCAAACAACTTGGCATTCTAATTCGTGCATATTTCAATACGTTTATATTTTTGATAGTTCTTCGGTAAAAAGATAACCAGCAAGCAACAGTGTATCTAGGCCGAACTGCAGAAAGCAAGTAAGTTGCATTCAGGTTGAAATCTTAATTCAGAATGAGTTAGTTTCAGTTCTCAATACATTTGATTGGATAATTAATAATGCTGGCGAAATTTATTAGCTGCTTGAGTTTTAGTTTCATTTATATCACCAGCGTTACATAAGAGTCATATGATGTGGATTAGTCTCGAAATAACGCAATATTTATCTTTCTTAACATAAATACATGTTTGGTTCTACCGATTGCAATAAAAAAAAGCTGGTGCACAACTAGATGTTATAGCAGACCCACAGACAAAATTTCAAAGTTCTACGGCCAATCGCTTTTGAATTACGCAAGAGACATACAGTACACTCCCGATTATCCGCGGCAACCGCCGCGGATAACAAAAATCGCGGATAATCCGAAAAATGCTAAAAACGGGTATAGCAAAAGAGAAAACAGTTATTCCAACTCTGAAAAATGTATATGTACAATAAAACGTAAGATAAACAGCAGGAAATGTTTAACTAACGCTTAATATTTTAGTACATCACTCAAAACTAACCTAAAATGCATTTTGTTAATGAAAACAGAGAAGTGCTACGAGAGGCGTCCAAGGATACACAGAAAAATTAAAACATATGTTACTGTTTATAAATGTATTATGTAATTACAAAAGCATAACGTAAAATCAGTAAGATTAAGTAAGACGTATCAGTAATTAAGACGAGAGGGCCGTGTAGCGGGCACTGCAAGGGTGAGTAAGAAATCACTCATCAGAGGGGAAGGTTCCGAGAAGGCCTGGGATATTTTTGCTATAAATAAGCACGATGTTTAGCAAATTTAACGTTTCGCTCAGTTTTGCGAACATTTTTACTTTCTTTGCTTTACGCTTGTAAAAAAAAAAAAAAAAAAAAAAAAAAAAAAATTGTGCGGTAGGCGCGGACAATCGGCTCCGCACATAATCCGCCCGCGGATAATCGGGAGTCTACTGTATATATAAATACTACATAAGTACGTACGTATCGACGCCATGGAAAAAAACCCATTTGAATTCACTTTAAATCCATTTTAAAATACGTTTTGAAAAAACAAAGTCCTATATTCTGTCAGGTGAATGAGATTAGAGTAAGAGAGTGACGGAGGACGGGGACACCATGCCTTAACTATTTTAGGTAATCAGTAGTCCACCACATCCACCTATATCTAATGCAAAACCCATGGATGATAAACTGAAGCCACAATGAGCATTCCGCACAGCACGCCGAAACCAAGCGCCCAGTGTCTCCTTATGCTTCCAGTTGTAGCAGATAGCATAAGCATAATATATTAAAAACTAAAATATAAATAAACATAAAATAAAAATATCTGATGCTTGGCAGTTTTTTTTTAAGTCGTATTGTAGTCAGAGTCATATATTTATGTTTATCGTCTTATTGCAATATTATTGTAATATAGTCTTATTGTAGCATAGGTAGTCTTACTGCACTGGTCTGTAGTTGCAATTGCATGTTTGGCAAAGTATGATGGGAAGGGGCCAGGCCCTGTGACGCATCTGACTAAAAGGGGATTGTTAATTATTTTTAGCTGTGTCTACTTATGCAAAGTGGTAACGTGTACAAAGTCTGTATTGCTATTGTCTCATTTCTCTTGCCACACTGAGGTAGCTTGTAATTTGAGTGCTCTTTTTAAATGTGTAGTTGGCCAAGATATTATTTTGATTTCCAAATCGATATCCATTGCTTCTTCTTTAGCAAGATGATTTACTGTTTCATTTCCAAAGTTTTCTGTATGTGCTTTTTTCCTTTTTAGTTTGGTTCCAAGGCTGTGATACTGACGTAAATTACGTGCTATTTTGATGATGGATGAAGAGTATTCCGGACTCAATATAGCATAAAGTAATGAAAAGCTGTCCATTTTGATTATGGTATTACTCAGGCTATGTTCCCGTAAATCTTCTTGTGCTATTTTGATGATGGGTGAAGTGTGTTGACTCAATATAGCATAAAGTGATGATAAGTATGTGTATGTGTGTATTTAATTATGGCAAAGCACACTAGGGCTATCTGCCTAAGGGGAGGGATGCCTTCGTTGAGGACTTTCTAAGGGAATTGGGCTCGAACACTTTACACATGGGGAAAACCACAAAAACGCCCATGCAACCAGCCCGTTTGCGGGATTCGAACCTCGGACCGAACTACCAGTGTTCAGCGACTTTACCGCTCGGCCGCTGGTGGGGAAGTGATGATAAGCTGTCCGTTTTGATTATGCTATTACTCAGGCTATGTTTGTGCATGTATCTAATAGCTTGAACTATTACTTTGGCCTTCCTTGAAAAATGATGTTGTGACTACGTAGATTGTAGGGTTTCCCTTAGTTTGAATAACGAATTATTTTAATGGGTATCTTTTTTGAACTTCTTATTTCCGCTCGCATTTCCTTGCCAGGATTCAAATTAAGTTGAGTAAGAGAGTATTTAAACAGGAGAAATGAGAAGGTTAGACACAGTGTGATTTTGCTAGTGTAGCGCACGTTTGCTTTCCCCCCCTTCAGCTATTAATCTTAGTTACGGCTACGCATTCTGGCAGTTTTTTTAAGTCTATCGTCGGTGGAAGTTGCTAAGTCAGCTTGTTAGCTTTAAGTAAATTGCGTAGTGTCCCACTACTATTTACCCTTTTGAATTAATAGTCGGTGTTATTGTGAGCATGAAGTACGTGCCTTTTGTTAAAGATTTTGAGAATAAAGGGATCTTTACACCCTTCATCTGTGCTGTTAATTCTTCACGTCTGTGCGAGAGGCTTTATATTAAGATCTTGACACTTGCATGATAGCGAAAACGATCTTACAAGATGGCCTTTCCATTCATAAACTATCTGATGATATTTCAGAGCTCTATATGCACATTCTACACTGTTTTCTATTTTTGAGCCATCTGTATAAATTACTGTATTTGCATTTAATAGTGATGGGTTCTGTTCCTTTAATTTTACAGCTATCCCTATGCCTTGAAGAGATTCTGATAGTAGGTAGTGTGAATCTCCGCAACAAGCTGTTCTACATAGTTGCCAAACCAATTGTTGTATTGTTTCTTTCTCTGTACTTATGTGAAGTAGCAAAAGCCCTGCAAGGACGTTTATTGCATGTGTGGAGTTCGTGCTATAGGTTTTTGTTACATTTAATGCAAAGGGCCTGCATATGCTTAAGGTGTCATCCTTGCATAGGTTGAGTCCAAACTGCTGCACTATATGTTGCCATTTTTTCTATGACTGTGAGGAATAGGGTCTTTTGTATATGCGAATTTAGGTTCCTTTTATATCCTTGCATTTGCCTTAGATGCTTATCGATGATCATGGTTTGTTTTTTAAAGTCGAGCAGATGTGGTATCCATGTTAATTTGATATCAAATATAAGTCCTAGGGTTTTTTAAGTGGTTTTACTATACGTATTCTTTCTCCATTTATTGTGATGAGAGCTGTCGTATAAGTAACTCCCTTTTTTTTGGAATCAGAAGTATTTGTGATTTATATTCTGCTACTTTCAGTTTAAACTCACTGCATTGAGAATAGAACTGTGAACATGACTTAGTTGCATTTGTCTGCAGCTTGTCTCTTGTCTTGCCACTAACTAAAGCCAGCGACGTCTGCATTTACTGTTCCGGTAATGGCTCTGCTATGACGCTATTAGGTAGACGGGTTAGAGCGGGTTACAAGGAATATTTTTACACAATACAGTAATTTTATACTGATGCATACATTGTAGCTTTTACATAAATACGTGGTATATAAACATAAAATAACCCGGTGCGTTTTATGAGCACTTATGTTTCAAAACTGGGGATACATTGATACGTCCATTTTGCATTGATGCGTACACTACTACATTTATATAAATATATTAAACTTATATTTTTCACTGTTACTTAAACATTTTTCAATGATTTTGCTATTACACATATAAATTCTACGTTATAAACATAAATTATCCTAGTGTATTTTATGTGCACATAGATTATGACACTGAGGTTACACTGATACGGAAACTTCTATTTTGCACTGCTGCGTATACATTAACATTTAACATTGAAATTTTACACTGATATTTAAACAATGAACTAATTTTACTCTATTATGCATACCAGCTCTTTCAATTCTAAAGAATCCATGATGAACACGCAAATAAGTAAAACGGACATCAATTCCCTTATTTCTGAGCAAACTATTAGCTAACAGAGTTTCTATTACTAGTTTGGCACTGCTGGTAATACTGGTGAAGAGAAGAATCAGAACATATAAGCTACCTTTAAGATGCTGTCCCATTATCCTTGATCCACTTGACGACAAGATAAATACAGAGAAGTTTTGTTTGAAAAAACTGTGCATTCATTTCGAAAACGGTGCCTAAAATAGCAAACTTTAGATTGGTCTTCAAAAAGAACAAATAATTTAAGGTATATAGCAATATTAAAACCTAAATGGCAGATTTTATAGGTTTCATATTCCTTTTCAAAATTTTAACTGGAAATTTCAGATAACGAGAACAAAAACTTTCCAGCATCTTTGCAACGCTGGAACGTTTCTCGCATGCTTAAAAGACCTCATTCATACAGTAAAAAAAGTGTCTCCTCTCATCTATAAAATCTTACAAAAATAACCCCATCTACACATGTGAGTAACAGAAGCAGCAACACTCAAACGGATGAAACTTCGAGACGCGATTTACTATTTTGGTTCCTCGTCAATTGGAAGACGTGTTCGTTACAACAGGCGTCGAGTGATGCGAATCACTGACCCTGGTTGTAAAAATAAATCCCGTGCTGAACTTCTCGCTGTTAATGTAATGTATGGAGCAGACATTCTGTAGAAGCCATGTGCAAAGTGTTTACGAGCGCTCAAGAAAGTTATTTTCAGTATGCTTTTCGATTAGAACCGCGAACAGGTTGCTGATTCATTAACACTGGAAATGTTATTTATATAATGTGCCGGTATTTTCCTAATTGGCAGCAGATTAATGTCGCTTCCCTCCGTTAATTATTGAATTTATTACCGCGTTATTTTTATTCAAACTCATTCAGTTGAAGTATGGTTAAAAAAAGGAAAGCAAAAGCGCGTTCGTCAACTAGTATATTTATAATTCCAACAAAATTCAATGCTTAAATGAAACGACTTTAAAATATTAATGAGCATTTAATTCAAATTAGGCAACTGAATGACACTTTAAATGAGTCAATTTTTATTTATATTTCCTCACACCGCAAAGAGGATGCTTAATTTTATGGTAAATTACATAAAATTAAGCATCCTCTCTTTAATACATAATTAATTGCTTTTCTTTGAGGAAGGGGGTTAAATACAGAATTGCTTAAAGTACTGCTTTAAAGTATGACACAGAATAAAATAAATTTACAGTCAGGTGACATTAAAAAAATTTTACAAAACCAACTATTTTGATCTCAGTTCGATTTGAATTTTTATTGCTACTTTTCAAACTGTTTCAAATGCAACAAATTTTACAACAGACAACTGACCGAATATATACAATGCTAAATTACAAAATTTCACGTAAATCAGAATGAACTGTACATTATGGTACGCGTAGAAACATACGAGTAATACCGTATTCTTGATTTTTTTTAATATTAAATATATATTCAGATTTTTTTATTGCATGCGAAGACTACCATTCACTTTATTAGGTCAATATCCCTCTTTCTAAAAGTTAAGCTGGCTACTGTAAATTCAACACAATTGGATAAACTAAAGGCTTTGACCGACTAAAAATTTCACATCAAGTTAATGTTCTTTCTAGTTTTTATAAAACTACAATATATTTACCTATTTACTCATTTTTCAAATACATCATTACGTATAAAAATAGTAATTTTTCCCCTTACAGCCTACTCTGTTGTATACTGATGACTATTTGGCATACTTGAGTTACTGAGTTTGACATGGCTGGAGACAAGCTATGCAGTCTGTACAACTGTGATACTCACAGCTAGTCAGCTCCCTATCGCAAAGTGGTTTCACAGCCTTCGTGCCCATGCTGCGTAATGATCTCAGATGTGACCCATCGCTTCTCTCTTCAAATTTTAAACTCGGAATTATTGATTAAATACCTTTAACTTCAAATTCTTTCCCGTACCACAAGAGCATTTTCATTTCGTTTCAGTTAGATTAATTTCGTTTTCAAGAATCACGAAAGTTAAAATTTCCTAAGACTAGCACTTAATAGCATATCCAAATCAGTTATGGGAACACTAAATAGGACAGGAATAAGTATACGGAACACCAGAACTTTACCATATGGTGCTATAAATACTGTCCCGTAATACTACTG